CCTTTCCTTTCCTTTCCTTTCCTTTCCTTTCCTTTCCTTTCCTTTCCTTTCCTTTCCTTTCCTTTCCTTTCCTTTCCTTTCCTTTCCTTTCCTTTCCTTTTCTTTTCTTTCTTTTTTGAAGCCCTAATGGGTCTCTTTAATGACGAAACCGCTACTATATAACATGTCTTTTTACATTTTAATTCCTCCCCCTCCTCCCCTCGGGATAATTTACAGCACAGGGTGGAATCTGAGCCCGTTCAAGCCGTGCCAAAGGGCCCTGGCAGCAGGAAGAAAGGCCGAGCCACTGCCATTTGGAACCAGGAGCCGAGTTATAAAATTTAATTTTAGAAATGCAGCTACTGGGAGCCGCTTTTAAATGCACATTTTTCCCTGTAGTGCATAAAATGGAGCTGTTGGGGTGGCTTGAAAGAGGGCTCTGTGGAGGAAGGGGCCTACTGGGCTCTCCAGAGGACTTTTGCTGCTTATCCAGCATTGGAAGCTGGATTTTTTGGGAATGCTGATGGATTCAGTGCTGGGGGGGGTGTGGAATAGGGCACAGTGGGTTGTTTTTAGGAGTTTTGTGCCAGTTTTTCTGTGAGTTGAGGGAGGAACAGCACTGGGCACCTCCCTGCAGGGAGGTTGGAGATGCCAAGGAAGCTGCAGAGGGCAGCTCTTCCAACAGGGAAAGGAAAATCAGGAGCAGACAGACATCAAATTGTGGAATCATGGAATGGTTTGGGTTGGAAGGGATCTTAAAATAATCCAGTGCCACTCCCTGCCATGGGCAGCGACACCTTCCACCAGCCCAGGGTGCTCCAACCTGGCCTTGGACACTTCCAGGGATCCAGGGGCAGCCACAGCTTCTCTGGGAATTCTATCCCAGGGCTTCCCCACCCTCTCAGGGAAGGATTTCTTCCTGACATCTGATCTTAACCTGCCCTCTTTCAGTTTAAAGCCATTCCACCTCATCCTGTCCCAAGTTCCCTCCTTTCTTCAAGGGAACAAGTAGAAAAAAAAAAAAACAAAAAAAGATGTTTGACCTCTGGGCTGGAGATTTATCACTGACATTGCATTCCTGACAGGGTGACAGTGTCCAGTGGGAAGAAGGGAAGGGATAAACCATGAATATTCACAGGGCAGCTGATTTCCTGAGGCAAATCCAAGCTGCAGAAATGGGTTGGGTTTGGGGAAAAGGAGGGACAGTGGTATCCACCTGCAAGAAGGTCCCCAAGCAGAAGGTGTGAAAATGATATTTTTGGAGCTGGGGATGCTACTCCATTGACTAAATCCAGTTGGGGTCAGGGAATGTCCTCATAGGCTCATTCCAGTCAGTCCCTTTGGAAAGGCTGGGAGAGCTGGGATGGTTCAGCCTGGAGAAGAGAAGCTTTGGGGTGACCTGATTGTGGCCTTGCAGGACCTGAAGGAGCTTCAGGAAAGATGGAGAGAGACTATTTCCAAGGGCTGGAGGGACAGGACAAGGGGGAATGGCTTCAAGCTGCCAGAGGGCAGGGATAGATGGGATATTGGGAAGGAATTCTTGACTGTGAGGGTGGTGAAGGTCTGGGATAGAATTCCCAGAGAAGCTGTGGCTGCCCCTGGATCCCTGGAAGTGTCCAAGGCCAGGTTGGAGCAACCTCGTCTGGTGGAAGGTGTCCCTGCCCATGGCAGGGGGTGAAAATAGATGATCTTTGGGGTCCCTTCCCACCCAAACCATTCCATGATTCCATGATGATTCTTTTACCCTGCCCTGCATTTGGAGAGAGCACCTTAGAAAGCAGAACCTGTTTGATTTGGGACTTTCTGCGACCTTTCAGAAGGAAAAGCCCTATTTGGGAACAGAGCTGCCCCTCCCTATTTCCAACATCCCACCAAACACAACCCTGCTGGGGGAGGTTTCCATTCCTACCCCAAAGCTGTGGTGCCACAGCCTTCCAGGAGAAGGATTTGAAGGATATCTCACAAAGCTGGAAACCAAGGGACACCAAAATGCTTTGCACAGTTCTGACCACAGATCAGCTCTTAAGAGAATGGGAAAAGGATTTATAATTTGTGCTTTTCCTGGGGAGAAAGTGCTCCAGCAGCTGGGACATCCCTCCTGTGCTCCCCCTGTGCTGTCCCTGTGGCTGCTGGTTGTCACCCAGAGGATCCCAGTGCAGAGAGCAGCTCCAGGGAATGAGTAGAAATGTGTTCCCTTAGTCATTCCAGCTGAATTTGGATGTTCCCAACGTTGTCCTGCAGCTTGGGCTCTCCAGCACCTTCCCTGTCCCCTCTCAGCTCTGGATCTTCCTGGGGACTGTGCTCCAAACGCTGCTCCAGGGAGCTCTGGACCCTCTGATTCCAAGACTCCTCTGCACTGACTGGTGCTGCAAAAGCAGCATTTACTCTCTTGGGGCTGGATGTCTGGTGGGACCTCACATTCCTGAAGCTCCCGATGCAGATTTATGATTTCAACTCTTCCACTTCTTCCGGTTTTTCTTTCCTATTCCTGCCCGCAAAGCCACTGCAAAATAATCCAAAAATAGGACTTGCTTGGGTTTATTTTATAGCCCTGCAGCACTTGTCTGATTATGGTGCCTTGTGACAATCTGGGGTTGGATTTTTGAGGAGTTATTCCAGTGCAGGTTTAGCACAGGGGGTCACTGTGGTGGTTTGAGACCCTCAGAAATCCAATTTCCAAGTTCAAGCCCTCCCCCTCCCACAGTTTGTCCCGGCGCGAGAGGGTTTTCAGACAAAACACAACCACTCAGAAAACTACAATTTCTCCTTTTAGAAACCCCTTCTCTCCTCGTGGGAGGTGCAGGGAGGCACTAAAATTTTCAGTAGATCTGGTTCTTCAGGACCAATTGCAAATCATGCCTCGTGCATCCTGTTCCTGCAGAGAAGTGGTCGCAGCTCTAAATTTCAGATGGTCCCAGAGTAGAGACTTTAACAGGGGTTAAAAAAAACAAGGGGAAAAAAAAAAAGAATAAACCAAATCAACAGACCTCGTGTACCAGTGAGATTTTCTGCTGTTTTTCCCCCCCCTCCCCACAATAGGACACCGTCAGAAAATAGATGAGCAGACAAAGCCCGGCAGTTTGTCCTTTTCCGAGCGCCTGAGCGAGCTGGAGCAGCTGCGTCGCACGGCCATGAGGGTCAGCCCACACCACCCAGCCCCCACACCCAACCCACGGGCCTCCTTGAACCACTCCACTGCTTTTAACCCTCAGCCTCAGAGTCAGATCCAGGGTAAGTACCCGAAAATCCTCCCTCCCCCCTGCTCGCCTGCCTCCGCTTCCCCATCCCTGCCAACCGCTGACCCCCCCGTCCCTCCGGGTCTTCTGGGCCTTCCTTGGATACTTTTCAGCTTTTGATGAGTGTAAAGAGGGGCTTCCTGACACGGGTGTGTGTGTTTTGAAAAGCCATTCCTGCTCCAAAGTGTGGTGTAACAGCCTTCCAGGAGAAGGATTTGGAGGATATCTCATAAAACCTTTCCCAAATCTTCGTTGGCGAAACCTCGCCATGATGATGATGATGATGATGATGATGATGATG